ATATATATATATATATATATATATATATATATATATATATATGCTTTCATTTGTCAAAACAAATGGTAGCATGTAAAATTGTGATCTACGAGGTAAGGACAGGGTAAACTTATCAGTAAAAGATACTCCATGATAATTACAGGAATACTTATTTATTTCAGCTTATTATGTTCTAGTATTATTCCTAATTAGGCTAGGGCTGTGCATAATTTGGTAAATATCGAATTACCGTATCGAAACCAAAAATTTTGGTATTCGGTATTCGATATTTTGGTATTCGGTATGTTATTTGGTTTATGTTTTAAAAAAAATTTGGTATTAGGTATGGTATTTGATATTTTAAAATAAAATACTGAAATATTGATATCGTACCGAAATATATATTATAATACACAATACACATTTTATTAATTATAACATAAGTATAAGAAATCTAAAATTTTACTTTCCTTTATTCTCTAAGTTCATCAATTAACTCTAAGCAAGTAACAAAACATTTCTCTAAGTTTTCTCTCTCTAGATTGTTATATGTTGGTTTTAGGAAAAACTTTTATCAACAAATATTTTTAGTTTTGTACTTTTGAGTACTTTAATTAAGAATATTATCGTTTATGATTCCATGCACTAGTTAGTATTTAAACCGAATAAATCGAAGTTATCGAACCGAATAAACTGAAATCAAAAAGAGAAAAACGAAATCATAGTGAACCGAAATGTGTAAATAATGTACCGTACGGATCGAGGAACCCCGCTCGTTCACGGATGAAGGGAGTAGAACAAAGGAAAAAGGCAGATTTTCTTTCTTGAGGGTGAAACGTGGCAAAATCATATCAACTGATTCATCATATAGGCATAATGAGCGGTCAAGATGAACAAATGAGGATTTTTAGAAGGCTAATAAAAACCAAAATTCAGTAAATTGGAATTACAGACTACTTGAAATTCTTCGAACCCTATATAACCAATCCCTTCGCCGCCTCTTCTTCTTCACCCTCCTTCTTCCCCTTCATATATTCTAACCCTAGTCTTCCTTTTCCAACTGCTCCACTTTTTCTGCTCCTTCAATTATTTTTAGCGTAGTTCAATCGGTAAGATATCTAATTACGATTTACTCTGTATTTTTCTATATTCCTTTTGCTCATCAAAAAATGTTGATTGAATGTCGGTTTCGTGTTTTTATGCATTACATAGTTTTATCTTCAGTTTTTTGATTGAGTAGTAATTGATTTTTCAATGTGTTTATACCTGTTTTATGAGTAGTAAGTTCTGCACTTCTCGGTGTTTAATGCCAATAGGTTAGTTGTCTGCCACATATAATTTATTGTATAGCTGAGTAATCAGCATCCGTAGAATCAGGCAAAGGAAAGTACCAATTTTAATGCACAGTGAATTTAATTGTTACCACCATTGATGCTATTTTTTTTTTTTTTGGGCTTCATATGAGGTGGATTATGAATATCTTCTTATTTTAGATAGCACTGGGATGGTTATATGGTTTTAGGTTTACAATGCTCAATTTGTGCTTCTTTTAGATGGTCATTGGATTATCATAACTTATTAAGTTATGGTGATTAGTAGGCTATATTAACTATGGTTATGCATATACGATTTGATTCAGCTTGAAGAACTCTGACCGATTCCATATTAAAGACTCGGCCATTGCCCATTAGTGTGTGATACATCTTTTGATTTCTAAATTTTTACAATAATGGGTTTCTCTTCCACCTTCCAGCAAATGGCACTGTAGTTTGCAACTCAGAAGCTCGGATATGCAATATGTAATATTAAATTTCCTTAGTAATGTTATACTCTAGCGGGGTTGAATTGCCGAAATGATGAGAACATTACCTATGGCCTCCTATTTATTCATATACATGAATCCCAGAATATATCATTTTCCTTAAATTTTACCGCTTCAGCTATATGACTGAAAGAATTGGCTTTAAAATTAAGTATCATTTTTATCCCTTTTTTGTTTTTTATTTTTACGGCATTGCATGTATTTAGTAACAACTGCTTTTTCTTATAACTTTCCCCTTGTTTTTTGATGTGGCTTTCTTTTTGAAGGTTGCTGGCATCTTATCTTTGTGGGGTTTCAAGTTGTAGTGTCTTAAGTTGAAGCTTCTTTTATGTCCAAACAAGCCATCCTCTATTTGGGATCTGTTGGATTGCTTGGAGAATATTGTCCTACTTCAAGAAGAAGGAGCACTCATATATCTGATCGGGTTGACTGTATGCATCTCGACTCATTTCCGGAAGGACACTTAGAGTTTTGCGGTTGCAGTCAGACGCAACCTTCTTTCAACAAATTTTGGGCCAAAGGATCCTCTGAAAACCCCTAACGTTTTGTTTAGGAAATTTCACTGAATCAAAATGGCTTTGCAGAATATTGGAGCTGCCAACAGTGATGATGCCTTTTACAGGTACAAGATGCCGAGGATGATTACCAAGATAGAGGGACGTGGAAATGGCATAAAGACGAACGTGGTCAACATGGTCGACATTGCCAAAGCTCTAGCAAGGCCAGCATCTTACACCACAAAATTTTTTGGTTGTGAGCTTGGGGCTCAATCAAAGTTTGACGAAAAAACTGGAACTTCCCTTGTCAATGGAGCTCATGATACTGCCAAGCTTGCTGGTCTTCTTGAGAATTTCATTAAGAAATTTGTTCAGTGCTATGGGTGTGGAAACCCTGAAACTGAGATCATTATCACTAAAAAAGAGATGATCCAACTGAAGTGTGCTGCATGTGGTTTTATTTCTGATGTAGACATGAGAGACAAGCTGACAACGTTTATTCTTAAGAACCCAGCTGAGTCTAAGAAAGGTGCCAAGGACAAGAAAGCAATGAGAAGAGCTGAAAAGGAGCGATTAAAGGAAGGCGAGGTTGCTGATGAAGAGCTGAAGAAGCTGAAGAAAGAAACAAAGAAAAAGGTGTCTTTCAAGGAAGCCAATGCAAAACCTAACTCCAAAAAGAAAGCCAGTGGCTCTGATGAGGATCATGCTTCCCCACCCAGAAGCCATGTGAATGTGGAAGAGGAGGATGAAGAAGATGATGATGTTCAGTGGCAAACTGATACATCAATGGCAGCTGCGCACCAGCGCATACAGGAACAGTTGAATGCTGTGACAGCTGAAATGGTTATGCTATCCACAAATGAGCCAGAGAAGAAACCCAAGGCAGCTACTCAGGCACACCAAAGTTCCAAGGCTGTTTCAGTGTCTCGGGATGATTCCAAAGCTGAGAATGGAGAGAGAAACTCTGAGACGCTTGTTGAGGAAGTGAAAGTGCATCTCAAGAAGGGAGTCACGGCCAGCCAATTTCGATCCTTCTTGGGTTCACTCTCTGGATCTCCTCAGGACATAGTTACTGCTGTCTATGAGGCACTCTTGGATGGTGTTGAGAAAGGATTTGCCAAGGAGGTTATTAAGAAGAAAGGTTTCCTTCTTGCTGCTGTTGGTCAACAGGAGGGGTCACAACTATGTTTGCTCCGAGCACTAGAAGAATTCTGTGGGAAATCTAACGCAGCAGCTGTGAAAGAAGTAGCTTTAGTTTTGAAAGCTTTGTATGATGCTGATGTATTGGAGGAGGAGTTTATAGTGCAGTGGTTTCAAGAGGGTCTTGCTGGGGATAAAAAGGACTCCAAAATCTGGAAGAATGTTAAACCCTTTGTTGATTGGCTGCAGAGTGCCGAGTCGGAGTCCGAGGAGGAATGAGATCACAATTCTCGTCCTTGTTTAGATTGTGTTCTCTGCAGGCTTATGTTCTGGCATCTTTTATCCGTATGCTGCTTTGCCAGAGACACTATTACTCGTTTGGAGTTCATGTGTCTTTATTTATGGTTTTGCCTGGGTCTGTGTTTCTAATTTCATGGTACTTCTGTCGTGTGATGCATTTGTTTTCTTTTAGATGTTTTTAAGGTGGAAAGGTGTACTATGCAGAATATGCTAGCTACTTGTTCTTGTTGAGGAGGGTGAATTATTTTTTAAGTTTAAATGCCTTATTCACGTAAAATAGCAACTTTCCCATGGTTCAGTGATGAGATTGTAAGCAAATTTTTGTGGTGATATTTTCATTAAACGAGTTCCTGAAAAATATGATGGCAATTTTGTTATTTTTAGCATTTAAAGTGCATATCATATTTCTAACTTAAATATTTTTAGGTGCCATAAAGTTGCACATGAAAGTGAGTCTTACTGCAGGAAAGTAAGGATTTCATGCATGGCATTAGCAATTGCATAGCTTGACTTTCTTCGTATAATGTGGGAAAGGGGGAATTATTAACCCTGTATTAGGATCGATGGTAAATTTGACGGACAGCTGAATATCATTTTGCTCTTCTGCTACAATTCTTAAAAGTTAAATCTAATGTAAGATGGAGTAAAAGCGAGCTAGAAATGCCTTAAAAGCAGATACTGTTACGCCTGATCATTTGAGTTCCTTTTGCAGCTGTGTTAATTCGTCTGGCGACAATCAATTTGCTGAACCATTTTATGCTCAAATCTCAACAGAAGAATACTCCGTCATGGAGCAGCGAGCTGATGAACATTAATAGAGGATCACCAGTTGCAGTGCCAAACTTCCCACTGGTGTTGAGATTTTAGTCGTTTAAGCTAATTAAGGATTCATTGGACATGTATAAAATGTGGCTGTACTGGTAGTTCATTCTCATCATCTAATGGAGCAATCTGAGAACGCGGACGCTGTTGTAATGGCAACTCAGTTTCCTCATCTGATGGGAAAATCTGAGAGTGATGAAGATCCTAAAACAAACATAAAGAAGAGTTGGAAATTGGAAATCAACAACCACTCATTGCTACAACATTTTCAACAGTGCTACAGAGTTTACTGGCTATCATGGCGAGTTTATCATTGCAAGTAATATTTCTTTCAGGTTTTTGGTCCATTCTGTCATTTGGTCAAAGAGTATATGTCAAAGTCAGTCTGATCTCATCTTCTTAACTTACATTCCATATCTGGCAGATCAATATCACTAGTATGTTAAAGACAATTTTGCTGTAATTCAAAATCAAAATATACATCAACAGATGTGGTGTATATGGGTGGTGTTATCAGTTGCAGCAAATTTCATGGGATTATTGTTGTGCGCAGGAAATATAACAGGTTCAAATGCCTGATGCTATTGGAAATTAAAGGGAGCTATCAATGAATTAGAGACCACTTTAGAAAAGAAGATTAGTATAAGAATATTATGGATGATTTAGCTTCAAAAATATTACGTACTACAAGAGTATTGATACTTTACCCACCTGATGCCTCCGATGTCGTATAGCAAGAAAAGTTTTCGCCAATACATACACCGCCAGTAGGATTCCGATAGTTTTCAACACTGATAACTAGAAAGAGAAATACATAAACTAACCCGAGGAAAAGGAAAAAATTTCTTTCGAGATAAGTTTAATTGTGTCACTAACCATGATCAATGTTATCGAATTATCTCCAGCAACACTAAGGATAAGTGGCAGGATTGTACGTAACATCAGAAGAAGCACAAACTGCATGGACAAATGGAAGAAATCAAATTTACAAATTGTATCTCCAACAACAACAAGAATAACAGTTCCCTACAATCGGTTCTTTTCTCAAATTTACTCTTAGCAACTCTTATGTCTATTCACAGTGGGTGCTTACAGTTATGGCAACAATGCGGCAGCATATCAAACTTCTTGGATAAAATACTGAATACTCATCATAGTCGTAATCAAGAAAATTGTGGTCCGCAGAAGCCAATGCAACAAACTGAGGATAATCAAGGCTATTCATGGAAATCTCCCAGTTTCCTCTGTGATATCGAACAAGATCAAGCAACAGCAACCTTAGTTATTAGTTGGAACAATAAGAAGAGTTTTGTGAAGAACAACCGGTGAAATTTCAGCTGGCAAAAGTACCTCATGTTCATTGGAAATCCGCCAAACAGAGGAGCTGGTGCTGTATAATCTGGCTTAAAATTCTGTAATCTCACATTAAAGAGAAACATGGTTAAGAGTAACCTACTCAATAGCAACATTTGGGTCCTGGTTTAAAGAATGAACACAGGATGAAAAAGTATGCAATCACAATTAGACCTACAAACCTGGCGGCAAATTTCACAGACAGTGTCCCCCTTCTCATTGCACCACCTCTGTACACATTTGCGATGGGCATACTGTGCATAGAAAAAACAAAATATCACTAAATGATTGAGCATCCAAGACACAGCTTGCCTTAGCAGCAGTTACATTTTGGCTTATCCCACGTTGTTATTAGAGCTTCATTAAGGATATGTTCAGTTTCATGATAATTTTGTGTACCTAAAAAGCTTCTGTTCAATGATGGCATAAAGCTTATTATAGACATAACTGATATTCTCTCATGAAATCACACTATATACTATCCTCACCTTTTGGATTCTGTGCAACGAAAAACAAAAGAAATAGGGATCCAAACTGTGAAGTTTTACACACATTATAGCCAAAGGAATGCCAAAAATGGAAAATCATGGTCACAAATTACATATATGTAACTCTTTTTCAGAGTATATATAATCCATATGTGGTATGGTTTATATATAAGGTGAGTGAGAAGTATATATGAGCATATTTTTCAGATATGAGATATGTATAACAAATGAGCAAACAGTTCCCATAGCAAACCTTGAGGGTTCCACGGCAAGAACAGGGAATCTCCATGTTTGAATCTTCATCACCGTCATGGCAAATCCTACATTCTTCCATCTTCCTTATTGGTGTACACTCTACAATATATAGGGAGCACAAATTTGTCATTTTTTAATATCAGCATTATGGTCCCATATATATTTTTCATAGTAATACTAGTTCAGTACCATGTTTTTAACTTTTTGGAATGTAAGAACATACATATTTAGATGAAGACTTTGTGAAAATAAGTTCCAATTCCCAACACAGCTCACCTATAGATAAAAAACATAATTAACACAGATTCTTAGAAATGATATTAATTATTTTGAATTGAAGAGGTTAAAGCATTGCAAAGAACATAATTAACTGGGAAGCTAAACCAAAAATAAAGATATTCCACGAATTATTGGAAGAAAGGATGTAGAAAAAAAATGAATACTCAAACGAAAAGTTTTAAATTTGTGAAAAAGAATCGACTACGAGGGAACGAATGATACCAAGAAACAACTTGAATAACGGGAAAGAAAGGTGAATGAATTATTAACAAGAGGAAAACTTATAAGAATGGGATGGCATTTTTGCAGTAGAAGAAACACAGCTTCATCTATTCCTTCCTCTTCATTCTTTGCTTCCACCATGCATTTTGATTTCCCATTCTACTAGTATTTCTTTTCTCTGCTTTCTTTATTTTCTATATATTCAATCTCATTTCAAAGAGCAAATCTTTCAGAATAGGTTTTCTCCAGAACTAAAGTTTAAGGATAAAGCGAGAGTTTTTATTGTTTTAGTCATACCTAAATGCCTGCCTTTTACACAAGCGGAGGTCTCCCATTGTCAAGGTCACTCTTTTCTAATCATAGCTGCTTATATTTTATTTTGAATAATTTAGAGGGCACAGAATAAATTTTCCCTTAAAATTTCCTCTCGTTTGACATAGCATAGACAGTCTCGAATCAGATTTAAGAAAAAAATTGTAGTAGTAAGTTGACATCCATGGTATAAATACTCAAATTATGATAAGTATTAAATGTAGAGAATCTTATTTTGCCTTTAGAGACAATTTTTTTAATATTGGAACGAAATGAAGATGAATAGATGGAATCAATTAAATAATAGGAAAATGACATTATATATATACAAAAAATATACAAATTTTATAAACTTTTACGACTATCGAATATAAATAATTTCGGCCATAGGCTAAAGTGACCTTTGGCCTAAAAGAATCATAGGATCGAGCCCAACTGATAAATTGAAGACTAGTTAATTGATTGATTTTAAACTTTTCACTTTAGAAATCCTTTTCTTTTTGTGTGACTTGAGAAATCCTTTTAAAGAAAAAGAAAGAAGAAGCAATAACTATACTCCTAAAAATGGTAAGTTACCCAACAAATAGAAAATAAAGGAGACGAAGTACAACTTTTAGGTAACGGAATTACGGAAAGGCTATGACTTATGAGAGGGAAAAAAAAGTGATGTGGTCTTAAGGTAATATGAAAGCTTAAAAAGCAGATGCGGAAACATGCCAAATGAAATGTCACTATGTCAAAAGAAACCGAATTAACGACATTGAAATAGTGTATTACTTTCCATTAACATTACTTTACAACCACTTTTCCAATTTCCACATAATTTGTCTTTTGGGAATTGAGACAGGACGTTGGTACTTCTTGGTAGTTCATTTTTTCGTCCATTGTGCTTGTCAATTCAGTACTAGATTGAATCCACAAAATACTAGATTGGCCAAACTCAGCATTTTAACTTATATACACTTGACATTGAATTAGCTTTTTTTAGTGAAAATGGCCGTAACATGTAACTCTCTAAAATAAACCTAATTTGGTAATATAGAAATAAAGTGAATAGCCTGCTATAACAAGTTACGATGCACTGAATACATAAATCTCTTTTATGAAGCACATAAGAGCTACAAAGAGATTCTTCAGAGGGGACTTAAAATCTTATCATACGAGGTTAGCATAGAGTTTCCACTCCAGAATTGGATACATGTTGCATAAAAGATGTCATTGTTTTATCTCTTAACATAGTGTGATATTATCCGTTTTGGGCCAAGCCTGCACGGTTTTTCCCAAAAGGCCTCAAACAATTAAGAGATCTTATATGTAGGCTCCCAATCTTTTCAGCTACCAATGTGAGACTTTGTTCGCACAAAGCCACAAACAAATAAAGAAATCACTACGTGACGAGATTTGGTACTCTATATAAAATGCTTCAAAGAAAACTTAGAAAAGGTAAGGTAAACACTACACAGGAGTAGTTTGTTTACATACTGTATGTGGACATAGGCAATCAAGTACACCAAAACTAGGAGAAGTATGGGGTCTTTTCAGACACTTGACATACAAGTTTAGTACATTAGTCGATTAAATAATGCACTGAAACAAGTAGAAACACTGAAATGCCCACGACTATGCCACGTCGCTTATTACATAGCAACGCTAAACTTGACATGAATAGTACATGGATGGATGTTTCAAACAAACCTCAGACATACGAAAGCAGAATCTTGAAGTAGATAATAATGTATATAGAAAGAGAGAACAGAGCAAACACATGTTGCCAGAAGAGCATTGCTGAAGCTTCTCTGACTGCATAACCTCTCAAGCTAGCAACTGCTCCCAACAAGATGGCACTTGGTGTGGTGTACTGCAACAAAAGCACGAACCGATACATCTGATCATTAGGTATTAAAAAGTTCATTTGATCAGCAAAATAGACCACTCCTGTTCCGATCAAAGGAAGGACCAAAAGTCTAGCAACGGTTATGCCAACAGTGGTTCGAACTCCGAGTTTAGATTCATTAGGACCCTCAGCAAGCATTCCTCCTAGAATCAGCATAACTGAAGGCACCATAGCTTGAGCGAGTATTTCTAAACTGTCCGTGAGGAACGAAAGAGGAGCCTCGTTACCATAAACAACAGATTTAATGGGCGGAACCATTCCAACAATAAAAGCCAACAATGTAGCAAACGTTGGAGGCTGAAGAACATGGTGAACTGGAGTTTGTTCAGCGACAATTCTTATTCTTCTAACCATCCGGGGCTCCGCTAAACATCTAATAGATTTTGGACTCCTCGGTGCTGGCGCTTCCTCCAAACTATCAGGGTCCGGAATAGAACTATATGAAAGGGTTGAGACACTGTTAAACACCCGTGCAATAAAGGGTGTCTTGCAATGCTCGGTTTCTCTATCTTCCATACCAGGCCACTCAGCTTCCACAAGAAGTGGCCTACTAAGATCATTACTAGGTAATGGCTCCTGAATCTCGCCACCCTCATCAACAACATCAAAGTACTCCAACGGCGGCTCCATCATATGGTAAACAAGAGTGTAAACGAGCAGCACCGCCACCCATTGGGCAAACGACACATAGGACACGCCAGTGGTGTAGCAATCTGGACCAAAAGGATTGTCACCGCTGTGGCAAACTGATCCAACAATGGCAAGAGGCAAATTGCCAGTGTTCCCAAACGCAGTCGCGATGATAGTGAACCTAAAGTACTCTGGAGGTGGCCCGCAAATTATCGCCACCAAGTACCCCAATAGACAACCGATTGCAGTACTTAAAAGTACATTAACTGGTATAAACCACCAGCGCGCAAAATTCTGGACAGTAATAGTCTCACCAAGGTGAATAAATATGGTACAAGGCAAGAAGAGAGCAAACACAAGCTTGCTAAGGAGCTTAAAAGTAGCTTTAGGAACTAATTGGGATCTTGGATGTGCAAGAATTAGGCCAATAACAGTTAGACATAAGAGTTTCAACAGCGGTAGAACAGCATATACTAGGTAATGGCTACCGTAATTCATATTGGCATCTTTTTCAGAATTTGGGAGTTCCATTTTAAGTTGAAACCACAAAGGAAAATTCCCAGAACCTTTCTAAAAACCCCAAATCAGCTGAAATACTAGCCAAGATTGAAACTTTACAAGATGGGTCTCAAGGATTTCTATTATTTAGAGCAACAAAAATACCTTCAGATTTAACAAATCCACATCTCAAAAGATTACAGGTTCACTTTTTTAGGTAACAACTTAAAGTTCACTTAATTTAAATGATTGTAGTACCTAAAGTACAGCTTAGCTCCAAGAATCTTGAAATAGGATTCTTTGGAAAAAAGTCAAACTGCTAAAAAATAGTACTAATAATAAAGATAGTAGCAAAAGATGGAGCAAGAAATTGAGGAGTCCCAAATCAAAAAGAAAGAAAAATATGTGGAAGACGGCAAATACTAGTCTTACGCAATATGAAGAAGCAGCTCCTCAGTTGCAGATGGAACCTCTTCGCTTATAGAGGAGAAAGCCTTGTCCTAACAGCAAATGAAGAGTAATGAAAGCAAATACCAAACCATCTGAGTGTATGATTGAACCAATTTGGAGCACATGGACACGTTTATTTATTTATTTATCTACTAGTATATTTTTTTTTTGTTTTTTTTTTCCGAGAACATAGACACATTTATTCAGCAGGATTCACTGCGAGTAGGTGTTTAATAATGGAAGGTAAGCCAAGTAAGAATTAACCAAGTTGTACTAGTTTACCTCCAACACCCCAAGTTAAATTTGAAATTTTGTAGAGGTAATTAAATGGGAAATAACTGTTTAGTATTATTTTGAATAAGATTGTTAAGCCAATCCTACCTATCTAATCAATTTCAATTGAATTATTTAACAGCGTTCAGCAAATTAATCACTACTAACAATCACGATCGAATTATTTATGTTTTATGAATGAATAATATCGTATCTTTCACATGTAAATACGGCATCTAATACATGTGAAAGTTTGACAAATCACATCAATTATGATCAATATGATCACTCAAAAGCATCTTGAATCCACTAATGGAACTAAATTAATATCTTGAATCCATTAATGGAACTAAATTAATTAAGTGGAATATACCCCACCACAGGCCCACATGACATGACTTAATGAAAAAACAATTTAAAGGAAATTTCACATACATTTCCTCACCGTTTGTCTAGTTATATGAGTTAGGTGAGATGTCCAAATTTGTTTAATTATCTTCGTTTAGCATTCACGAGAGTGAGTTACTCTACTGGTAAGTACCCTTCACTTTTAACTAAGAGGTTGTGAGTTCGAGTCACCCCAACAATAAGGTGGGGAAATTCTTGAAGGGAGGGTAATGAGATTATAATGGGTTGTTATTATTGTTATTATCTTCGTTTAGCATGCACACTATCTACAACTACAAGTTTAGCGTGCATATTGGCAATTCAATGAGGGTGATATAAAAAATTAAATCTAAGAGTGACATGCAAAACTGAAACGATACCAAAAGAAATCCTCGCAAGTATATATAGTCCATAAGATATTTCATTGGCCCGCTTTTTATAGCGTGTTCTTTTGAGCATCTTAGTCAAAATATTAACTAGGGTATATATGAATTTTACATTTACATATGTACTGTAATTTGTACAATCCGCTTAAATTTTAAAAGAAGTAAAATAGGTAGCTTTATTACTAGCTCAAATCAATTCGTCAAGAGAGTTTAGTAGAAGGAAAGGACAATCATATAGGGTTATTACAGTGTATGGATTTGAATTAGGAAAAAAAATAAACAAATAAATAAGTGATTTTAAATTTAGCAGGTTGAGTTGATGACCTACTAAATCCTTTAAAACTAAGCAATGTTTTGATAGGTTTTCCCATGCCTGTACATTGAGCTGATTCAATCTGAACCAAAAGAAAATCATGTTAGAATATGGAGAATATGATTAAAAATGGTCCAATCCCTATACCCTAATGACCATTTTGATCATTTTCTCTTAGAAGATGATTTGTAATCAATCACACTTAAACTTAAATGCATGAAGGGTAAATTTTTAGTGACGAAATTCAAATTTCGTAGCAAAAATTTTGTCT